GGGTGCAGCCGCCTCAGCTACCGCAGGGATGGCTGCCACAAAGGCAGAGGGGTCTGCCAGGAAGGCCTTCACCTGCAAGAGAAGGGGGGAAAAAGGTGAACTCAAAAGAAACAAACATTCTGAATGACTGAACCTTCGTAATCATAAAGGCAGTGCGTGCAAGCTCGCCGGAACTGAAGGGATGCACTTATCACTGCCATGTATGAGGAATCGGAGACATCCCAGCTGCACCACAGTGTTATCAGCCCCAGGGAGGAGGGAACGCCAGGGAATCTAGTTTCCCACCATCCACATGCAACATACGGAAGCAAATACCCCTTTTTAGGACAGGTCCCTTATGCGCGGGCAGGTCCGAGTCCTTTCAAACTAGGTACCATGTGAAGTGTTTCCAAGTGCCTGGCTGCATTTACCACCTCTCTGCAGCCATTACCTTTTCAGCCAGTGGGAAGGTGTAGTCTGTCTCCACCGCCACAGCCAGGACCCGCTTGTACCCGTTGACAATGGAGTGAGGCACAGAAGCGATGGTCGGGTACCCAATTTGCAGGCAGACACTGGCAACATTACGAACACCCTGTGAAGAGAGAGACTCATGTTTCTGTGCTCTGAGAAGCGACCTGGACTAAACCCCACGTTTCTACACTGCCATCGTAATGGCAGCGCGCAAGGCACACAAGTAACAAAGCTCCAGCGAAATGAGACGAGGCGTCAAGATTTAAACAGCTTTTTGAAGAAGTTTCAGCTGAAAACGCCTACAGAAGGTACTCCCTGATGGACTGTTTCTGCAGGGCAGCAGGGAGAGCTCCCAGCTCTGCAGGAGCGTGCACAGCACACCAGACCTGACACTTCACCATGGCTGCCAGAGCACTGAAGCAGAGCAGCAGAATACAGCAGATCCAGGCTGCAGCACTCACCTCCAGGAAGCGCTTGTGCAAGGTCTCCTCAGTGATGTCCAGCACTTCAGGATTGTAAATGCTGCCGTTGTCAAACACCTGCTGGATCACCAACCCGAAAGAGAAGGGGGAGATGTTCAGCATGTTCAGCAGCGTGGCTTCGCTGGCACCCACTTTGTCTCCAGTCTTGATGAGCTGCACATCGCTCTGAGGAAATAAAGGGAAAAGGAGTGAGAATGTACAAAGAAATTCAGGCACATCAATGCAACAGGATGCACATTTCCAAGAGCAAGAGATGGAACCGAAGAAACAAATGATCACAACAAAAGCAGGCTCAGAGTTCAGCTCCACAAGCTGAGATATACAAAGAGGTACATCTCAGCTGGGAGAAAGGCAGCGCCTTTCCTGCGTTGTGCTCCTCCAGCAGAGCCTACCCACGCAGCCGAGATCATAGAACAGAATCACAGAATAGTCTGGGTTGGAAGGGACCTTCAAAGGTCATCTAGTCCAGACAGAGAACTTAAATCCCAACCCCAGCAACCTCCTTCATGCTCCCAAAGCTCAGCAGATACTGACAAAGTATTTCAGCCCTAATGGGAGCTTTGATCTTTGAGCTCCCTCAGGTGCCACAACTGGGGCCCTCCAGTCAAGGCAGAGCTTCAGCAACAGCACTGCTCACTAACCAGAATTTCAATGGTTCCTCTGGAAATCTTCGTGGTGATGCCCAAGGCCTGGAAAAAGGAGGTCTTCTCAGGCCCAAGACCGGTGTTCTGGGCCGGCACAGTCACATCACAAGGAGCAATAGCACCAGCACGGGCAGCAGCTGGCACCTGGAGAAAGGGGAAAATGAGAAGCTGGAAGAATCCTCACCTCTCAGATGTGTTAGGATGGCATCTACTCCTTCCTGAAGCGTTCCTCCAGGATGGACAGCACCCAGGCACACACACAGGAGGCAGCTGAACTTAACAGTCTGGCAAAGGCTGCAGGGCTCTCAAGCCCTGAGGACTCCCATTGATCAGGCATCCCCCACAAAGACTCAGTTTTATTTTCAACTCCCTGCCTGCCAGCCCAGAGACCCAGCGAGGGCTGATCTCCCCCCTACCTTGTTAGCCAGCAGCATGTCCCGGATCTCAGTCAGATCCTCCTTGGTGAAGACAAAGCCCACGTTCCCACGGATGTGAGGCAGCAGCCTGAAGGAAAGATGACAGCCTTCAGTTCTGCTTCTCAGACAATACCCCCTCCTCCCAGACGGAGGATCCAGGAGCACATTCATACAGCGTTACCCACTTTTCTAAGGCAGGGTTATTCTCCAGATGACCACGAATAGCTTTGCGCATCATCGTGTTCTTCCCCATCAGCACAACAGCCTTCCCACGCAGGGACATGCGGATTTGCTGCATCTGCTTGGATCCCACATTGTCTGCTCCCACAATGAAACATTTTGGGTAATCATCCAGGAGTTGCTATAGCAAAAGAAACACTATAACTACACAAAGCATTCTGGACCAGTGCACAGAGCAACATTAAAACCTCAATACATTAATACGCAAAACCAAAATCTGTCAGGTTTGAGAGTGCTGAGCTCACACTGGGTGCACAAGGCTGCCCCTTCCTCTCAGCTATCAAGTCACATCCCTAAACAAATTATCTCTGCAACTGACAGGGCAAATTCTCACAGGAGCCTTAAACCAGTCTCATCTGGGCTGTCTTAAGCACCTCCTGTTACCACGTAAACGTTCCTCAACCAACCAACCTAAGGCACCCCCCCTCCCCGCAGGCCAGCCCGCGTCCCTGTGCCC